ATAACCTCTGCTGGAAAGTGAGTTTGGTTATCTTCAGCGGTCTTTCTTAGTGCAAAATTGGCACAACTCAGCGATGACACTCCTCCAAAGAGGTGTACTTTCATCCGACATTCGACGAGATCCTGCTGCACGTCACCATCAGGCCACCATAGGAATCGCAAGTAGTCAATATGGTTTTCTGACACTTTGACCTGGTGAAACATTGCTTTGATGTCAGCCGTCAGGGCAACAGGCTCTTGTCTGAATCTGAGGAGTACTCCTGTAAGTGAGTTGGTAAGATCTGGACCCTGTAGCAATTGTTCATTGAGCGATGTTCCCTTGAAGCCAGCGCCGCAGTCGAAGACCACTCTCAAGGTTCCTTTTCTCGGATGATACACCCCGTGATGTGGGATGTACCAGAGTTTCCCATCAGTACGATTCAGCTGATCCTCTGGTATCCTTTCCGCATAGCCGTTGTTAACCATTTCTTTGAGAAAAGTTGTATATTCTTCGCGAAACCTCTCATTTTTAACAAACTTGCGTTTCAGGCTTTGGATGCGTTGCTCTGCTATGCAACGGTTGCTTGGCATGCAGGGATTTTCTTGCTTGAAAGGTAAGTCTATGCAATAGTGACCATCTGTAATTTATGATGAGTGATTCACAATATCCAGGAATTTTATCTCTTCTCTGGACATTTTCTCTGTTTCCTTGCAGGTTTCTTCATTGTAGTCGTGATTGTATTGTTTAACCAGTAGCTCCTCTAAGTTCACGATGGACAGTCGGTTGACAGCAGCAGCAGGGCAGCCATTCTCATCCCTGCTGTTGTCTCCTCTCAAAGGACCATATATGACCCACCCCAATAGGGTCCTCACAGCGTATGGTCCATTGGCTTGGCTGTTGACCACCTCCCAAGGTTCCAATGCCTTAGACGCATTTGTGCCTATGAGAAGGTCAATGCCAGAATCTATTTCATGAATCTTGACATCCTTCAAGTAAGGCCATTGAATCAGGTCTTCTTGTCTGGGAATGTTGAGCTTGGAAACGGGCATGATCTTGTGTGTAAATACATTGGGCAGTTGTATGAAATCAGTTTTGTCCAGACTTGATATCTCTAAACCTGGGATATGATGACTAGTCACAGGTTTCACTTAGTTCATTGTACGCAAAAGAATACTAGTCTTTTGTCCTGTTACATTCAGTCTTCTCATCAGGCTTTCTGTGCAGAAGGTGGCTGAGCTTCCATGGTCTAAAAAACGCATACGTCTGCAACACAGTGTGTCCCTTGGGGGTCTTTACTTGTACTGGAACAATAGATAAGAGACAGGCTTCTTCACCGGCCCCAATATGCCCACATGTATGAGGTGAGAGAACGGCATTGCTCCCAATTGATTTTCCATCCAATTCTGTTTTCCTTCCTATGTCTCTTTATTCAATATGAAGTATTTCAGGATGATTTTTGTTGCAGATGTCACAAGTCAAACGACTATCGCAGTCTTTGCTCATGTGTCCTACCTTCAAACAGCCAAAACAGACTCCCCTTTTCTTTAAGAAGTCAATTTTTTCCCCTGTGCATCTTTTTCCTGGTCTGTGGACACCGCACCAATGTGTGACCATCTCTCTCACAGAACAAACAGGAATTTTGAGGGTTAGTGACGGATACATTTTTCATTCCACTTGTCATTTTTTCTTGTATTGGCATTTCCACAGGTGTTGCAGTAGTTGCAAAACTGCTTCCTCTTGGTCTCGGCCTCTCTTGCTGTGACATCCTGGATGTTCCCAAAAAGTGGATCCGACAATATCTTCACTTGTCTCTCCATGAAGTCTACCAAGCCAGAGAAACTAGCTCGACGTCCATGTTGTTCCTGGAGCTGACATGCCCTATTCCTCCACTTGTCTCTGAGCTTGTAAGGCAGTTTCAGAAGAATGGTCTTCATACTGGAAGTGACGTTCAACTCCACCATATAGGTGAGCTGTTCCATTGCATTGCAACAACCTCTCAGGAATAATGAAAACGCTCGCAATGCTTTCAAGTCCTCTGGCTTGATCGCTGGCCAGGCAAATGCTTTGTCCATGTATGCTGTAGCAATCTCATGTTCGCTACCAAAATGTTCTTTAAGCAGCTCTTTTGCTCTTTTATAGCCCTCAGCCGAAGACAAATGTTGACGGCTGTGGACTAAATCCTTTGGATACCCTCTGGTATATTGCTCTAGGAAATGCAGGCAGTCACTGTAGTCATCAGTCTTTCTTTCCACTCCTCTCTCGAATGCCCTGATGAAAACTCCATATTGCAAGGGATCCCCATCATAAACGGGAATGTCTCTTGGTGGTAAAGTAGAAGAGAGATTGTGTTGAGCTAGAAGAATGGTTATGTCACTTTGCTTCTGAATGATGTGATAGATATCACCTTGATTATGATCATTATATCCAGGTTGTGTTAGAGGAGTCATATCCTGAGCTCTAACAGATGGTCCATCAGCGCTTTCCTTTGGCTGAACAACCTGTTGCTGGGAAGAAGATTCTGTTCCCGTCCGCACATTCAGTCTTTGTTGCACTTGATCGGGTAAATAGGTGTTTGCATGTGGATTCTCTTTGACTGACCTTTTCCTTTGAACAGTTCATTTTTCAAAATAAAAATTCTCTTATAAATAAGATTATCTTTACAGATGGCAACGAGACGTTGGGACCGTTGTAATCTGTGATTTAATGACGTTACACGGCAAATAGTAGTTAATGGCGTTACACGGCAAATAGTAGTTAATGACGTTACACGGCAAATAGTAGTTAATGACGTTACACGGCAAATAGTAGTTAATGACGTTACACGGCAAATAGTAGTTAATGGCGTTACACGGCAAATAGTAGTTAATGACGTTACACGGCAAATAGTAGTTAATGGCGTTACACGGCAAATAGTAGTTAATGGCGTTACACGGCAAATAGTAGTTAATGGCGTTACACGGCAAATAGTAGTTAATGGCGTTACACGGCAAATAGTAGTTAATGGCGTTACACGGCAAATAGTAGTTAATGGCGTTACACGGTGAATAGGTACTACGTGTCCGCAGGGCAACAGCCAATCAGCTCTGCTTGGCGTCAGCTTTGTTCCATCTGCTGTAAATAGTCTATTTAACGTAAATTCAAATAAGCTCAAGTCAGTGACTGGCAGCAGAGAGGAATTTAATCTCAAACTATATGGTTCATATTATCAGGAATCAGGAACATTTATTACCAAATTATATCAGACATACAAGGAATTTGAATCAGAGAATGAATGAATGAATTTTATTTATTCACACAATACCACTTGAAACATAACACAGCTGGGGAGGTACAAGATTAATTGGGTAAGGTGAATGGGTCCCCCAAAGAAGCTAAAGAAAGCTTATAGGTGGGGGCCCATGATTCAATTTATAGTGGTAGCACAAAACTGTAAAGTACACAATCACCACAAATTATACTGACTAGTTGCTCACGAGAGACACACTAGTACAAAACAACACATACACATACAATCATACATCCCAGTAGTCCATGAAAAAACAGTTTTATATTAGATGTAGGTTGATAAGAAATATTTTATAAGAATGATTACAAGACAACGTGGTGCAAGAGGAATTTAAATTAAAAATAAAGTTTAAAAAAGTCAGAAATAAGGTGCACCAGCGAACAATGCACGTGTCCGTGGAGCGAGCCGGGCGGCTCCAGGCACGAGCACCGAGGGCGGGAGCTCTGAGATTCGGCGGACAGTTTGAAATAGTTTTCCACCAATGAGCATCGCAGACTCTCCTGTGGAGGCGCGGCTGAGCTCCGGGAGGAGTCCTCCACCAATCAGGAGCCGAGGTCTGAAGCTGCGTCACCGCTCCACAGCCGGTCCACACTTTAAGAGCCGCGTGTCTCCTCTCAGAGTTCACTTCACCAGAGCGAGACTAGTCGATCATGGCACGAACCAAGCAGACCGCCCGTAAGTCCACCGGAGGCAAAGCCCCCAGGAAGCAGCTGGCCACCAAGGCCGCCCGCAAGAGCGCCCCGGCCACCGGCGGCGTGAAGAAGCCTCACCGGTACAGGCCCGGTACCGTGGCCCTGAGGGAGATCCGTCGCTACCAGAAGTCCACGGAGCTGCTGATCCGCAAGCTGCCCTTCCAGCGTCTGGTGAGAGAGATCGCTCAGGACTTCAAGACCGACCTGCGCTTCCAGAGCTCCGCCGTTATGGCTCTGCAGGAGTCCAGCGAGGCTTACCTGGTGGGCCTGTTCGAGGACACCAACCTGTGCGCCATCCACGCCAAGAGGGTCACCATCATGCCCAAAGACATCCAGCTGGCCCGCCGCATCCGCGGGGAGCGAGCTTGAGAAGTCTGCTCCTACTGACCCCACAACGGCTCTTTTAAGAGCCACCTCACTCTCTGTAAAGAGCTCCTTCCTTAACGTGACCATCAATTCATGATTCATACGTATGAGAATAGTCATGGATATTGGCATCAGTCTGCATTAATTAATTTGTATTCTATAAACATCTCACTGCCTAGAACTAGAACAGAAAACTTCCTAATGTTGCAACTCACGAGTTACAAACCATGGATGCCAGGCCAGTGCGTGATCAAACACATCGTACAAGAAGTTATATGTATTCTGGCGAAGAAGACCTTTGTCTGGACTGGTATATAACCATAATAAATAACATCAGATGTACATTAACGTTACTAGTGATCCACGTCGCCAAAACATCAGATGGGATAAATAGACATAATTCAAAAATTAATATCTGCTGATGGATTTAGAGTTGGATCAAGATCATCGTCGATATTTTATCCACAAGTACTTTTGAGTAGAAAACTTTCACAAAACTCACCATGTAACAGATGTGTTTGAAACATGGAAGAAGTTGCTCAGATTCTGATCTTTCCAGCATTTATTTGTTCCTGCAGAAGACAATAAAACACACATTCGTTCAGCAGGAGGCGCTGCAGCGCCACGTCAAAGCCCCGCCTCCGTCTTCCATCACGTCCTCAGACTGGCTTTAAAGGTCTGTGAACTGACTCGAGCTCATCATCTTTGTACCAAACCGACCAGTGAACATGAGCGGAAGAGGGAAGGGAGGAAAGGGACTCGGCAAAGGAGGCGCCAAGCGTCACCGTAAAGTCCTCCGTGACAACATCCAGGGCATCACCAAGCCCGCTATCCGCCGTCTGGCTCGCCGCGGCGGAGTGAAGCGCATCTCCGGTCTGATCTACGAGGAGACCCGCGGTGTGCTGAAGGTCTTCCTGGAGAACGTGATCCGCGATGCCGTCACCTACACCGAGCACGCCAAGAGGAAGACGGTGACCGCCATGGATGTGGTCTATGCCCTGAAGAGACAGGGACGCACCCTGTACGGCTTCGGGGGATAAAGGCCGACTTTTACTACCAAAACCACAACGGTCCTTTTAAGGGCCACGCACTCTCTCCGAAGAGTTGATCTCCTGTTTAATATCAAAATTTAGTATACGTTGTATGAAAGTTGTAACCATCAACAACAATTTTAAACAATTCTATGTGCAGTTTTACATGATGGGTATTCTTTGCTATGTTTAAGTAGCCCATGTGTCTGCTCCCTAGATGCTCATACTAGCTAATGTTACATGAGTGAATGTCCTAGCCCTTGTATGATACATTCTGGAAATCACAGCTATAGTCTGCAGCTGAATAATGAAGGAAAAGCTCTTTAAGGGAGGATTGGGTGGCTCTTAAAAGAGCCTTTTATAGAAGCGTTGGTTGTTCAGACTGAGGTCAGTTTACTTCTTCTTGGGTGCTGCTTTCTTGGCTTTGGGCTTAGCGACCTTCTTCACGGGGGTTTTCTTGGCTGCGGGGGCCTTTTTCACCACCTTCTTGGAGCTCTTGGCCACCTTCTTGGGGCTCTTTGCTACCTTCTTGGGGCTCTTGGTCACCTTCTTGGCCGCTGCGGGTTTCTTGGCCTTCTTCGGTGACTTCTTAGCGGCTACAACTTTCTTCACTGCCGCTGCTTTGGGCTTTTTGGCCGCTGCGGGTTTCTTGGCCGCGGGCTTCTTGGCTTTAGGAGCGGCTTTCTTTGCCGGTTTGTCGGCGGTGGTCTTGCTCACCTTGAAGGAGCCGGAGGCCCCGATCCCCTTGACCTGGACCAGAGTCCCCTTGGCCACCAGGCTCTTGATGGCGGTCTTGACGCGGGCCTTGTTCTTGTCCACATCGTATCCTCCGGCGGTCAGAGCCTTCTTGACGGCGGCAGCGGACACGCCGCTCCGCTCCTTGGACGCGCCCACGGTTTTCACGATGAGGTCGGAGACGCTGGGACCGACCTTCTTCGGCCTGGACGCCTTCTTCTTGGCCGCTTTGGGCGCGGCGGCGGCGGCCGCAGCTGGAGCTTCTTCTGCCATTTCGTCCCGCTGTTGTGCGTTTGCGTCGTCGAGGACTCGAGACACTGAGACCGATGAAGAGCTCGAAGCAGCGGACTGCACTTAAACGCACCATGAGAACCGTGGAGACTCAACCCGGCCCGGAGCTGCTCGTGCAGCGTGAAAGTCGAGTCACGTGTGTTTTCTCTCCACTGATTAAAGACTAAAAGCTAAATGTGCATCAGGTGCTGGAGGCTGAAGGCGGAGGAGCCGATAGCGGACTAGTTTCTCTTCATGTTCAGGTCACGTGGAGCTCTGATGATCGATGCGTTTGGTTTGAGGAGCCTTCAAACGTCACCTACTCAGCGCCGAGGACAGCGCTGATCAGCGGCTTTTCACACTCATTTCTCTCCTAAAAGTATTTAAATTGCATCACATCTCCATCAAAAGTCGTTTTCCAACTGCTCCACATGTTTATTCAGGATTGCAATTTAAAAATAACCATCAGATGTTGATCAGTTTTTAATAAACTAGAGTTATACTGCGAACAGTAAACACACTGGAGACGGTGGTGGCTTATGGTGCAGTTTAATCAGACCTCCTCACTGTGGACATGTCTTCTGTTATTTTATACATCAATGTGTAATCCTCAATTACACTTTTATGCTCCCATAGCACTGTTACTATAACACATGTTATTTCTGTTGTGCTGATGAATCCTATTAGCACAGATGCAGTTGCATTTAAGTGAATACAACTAACCGTCATTGCCATTACTAACATTCATTAAAAAAGTATTTCTATGCATAACAATCAAAAGGTTTGACTAATTCATACAGAAATAAATAGAGATTTTAAACTGATTTAACATGTTTTATGTTCAACACTTATGAAATTACACAATTGCAGCCTGTTTACATCATGTTGATTGCACAAAGTTAAAATAGCAAATTATGCAAATCTGGGGATGGGCACAACAACAGCTCATACTGGTACCTGTTATTGACTATATGAGTTTTAAGCACGGTTTTCCAAGTCCAACTCATCTCTTTTCTTGCCTTGCTGGGCCTCAGCATTTGACACCATTGATCATTCTGTCCTGTTGCAGAGACTAGAATTGATAGATTGATATTAAAGGAACTGCTCTCAGCTGTTTTAAATCCTATTTATTGGATCGATCCCAGTTTGTGCTCGTAAACGGTGAATCCTCGATGACCACCAATGTTGCTCACGGTTCCACAAGGTTCTGAGCTTGGACCGATTTTATTTGCCCTGTATATGCTTCCTTTGGGCGATGTTATCAGAAAACACTGCATAAACTTCCATTGTTATGCAGACCGACCAGCTTGTTAGACTTCAATAATGTCTTAGAAACATCAAACTGAAATCCACAGAAAAAGAGCTCTGCCATCTGCTAGAACGCCACTTATCATGTGTTGTTCACGTCTGCTACTGTCTTGTTCACATTTACTATTAATTGATTTGAGACTGATCAAAGGCGGTCTGCGAGAAGACCACCTGATTTGTCTTGGTTACTTCTGCCTGCTATAGGCTTAGACTGCCGGGAGACTTCTTAGGACACACCGAGCTCCTCTCACTCTCTCCTTCTACAATAATCCACATCTCGTTAATACAGATCACTAATTCAGCTTCTTTCCCGGATCTTTTTTTTGTGCTTTCTTGCAGGTCTCCGTCAATCGTAGTTCTGTCTGGACTCTGGTCCTGACTCCTGCGTGGCCCTGTTGACACCAACCGCCTCTAACACCATTAATATCCCCATTTCTTTTGCTGTAAACATTAATGTAACATTTATTTGTTCCTTCAATGGAGTACTTTTTTATTCTTTAGAAGTGGGTGCCTCTTAAAAGAGCCTTTGGGTTTATAGATTCCCTAGAAGTAAGTTGGACGAAAACTAGGATGAATATCCCAAGTTTTTATGATTCAAAGATCTAAATAGCCTTTATACCTGCAGTGACAATTGTATTCAATTAAACACAGGAGGAAACGGTCTTTAGAAGAGGTGGGTGGCTCTTAGAAGAGCCTTTGGGTTGGTGGTCTACATCAGGCTCACTTGGAGCTGGTGTACTTGGTCACGGCCTTGGTCCCCTCAGACACGGCGTGCTTGGCCAGCTCGCCGGGCAGCAGCAGGCGCACAGCGGTCTGGATCTCCCTGGAGGTGATGGTGGAGCGCTTGTTGTAGTGAGCCAGGCGAGAGGCCTCGCCGGCGATGCGCTCAAAGATGTCGCTCACGAACGAGTTCATGATGCCCATGGCCTTGGAGGAGATGCCGGTGTCGGGGTGGACCTGCTTCATCACCTTGTACACGTAGATGGCGTAGCTCTCCTTCCTGGTCTTCCTCTTCTTCTTGCCGCTCTTGCTGACGGCCTTGGACACGGCTTTCTTGGAGCCCTTCTTGGGCGCTTTCACAACCTCAGGCATGATTCAAGTCTCTGTCGCAGACTGACAATGTCGCGATGTGAACAGGACGGTGTTCATATATGAACGAGATGCAAATGAAACTGTGCGGTCGCTCGAGCGTGATTGGTTGTCTTCTGTGTGATACTGCGCATGCGTCTCACAGGCGGATTTCTCTATTGAGACCGAATCACTTTGGTGCTTTTAACACGAGTTTGTCTCGTGAGTTTCACATTGAGAATCATGTTGTAAGAATCATTGTGTGCACTGAAATCATCTAATGACCGTCACACAAACCATTCACAATCACAGGGCCCTGTTGATAGTTACAGTTACACACTTCAATTCTTGACGTGTCAAGACATGACACACACCTTTTTTTCATCCAGAATAGACAAATACATGTATAATAGTCATAAATAAATATTATAGGGCACCTTAACAGGACTTGTAGGTATTCAGCACACTGAGCCACGGAAGTGAAACATGTACAGTTTGTGTTCTTATGGCTAGACTCACTTTGTGATGTGACTTCAGAAGTTGGATGAGGACATTTATCTTGATGACTGAAGTCTAGTAGTTTAAATTAACGTTTGAGCGCAGATTAGTTTGTGAGGAATCAAGTAGCCCGACATCAACCATCGGGTTAGTTTGGCTAAAAGAGCTATTTGTCGGAGAGGTCGCAAATAGTTTATTTTAATGGTGTGTTATCTTGTAGCAAGTCCCTGGATTGTGGTGTTCCTCAAGGAAGTTGCCTCGGACCTTTGTTATTTTTACGAATGATATGCTGTATATACTCAGTAGCAGTCATTCAAAAAAATTACAAGTGGCTCAAAATAAGGCTGCAAGACTGGTTCTTGGTTGTTCTTTGCGAACTAGTGTTGCAGAGATGCATGACCGTCTTGCTTGGCTGGTGGTCAAGCATAGACTATCTGCTAATATGTTAGTATATTTTCATAAAATAATTAACACCCAGATTCCTAAATTTCTTTATGACAATATAATTCACTATTCAGATATGCATTCACATTACACAAGAGGGGCGATTAGTCATCAGATTTCTTTACCCCTACCTAAATGTGACTCTATGAAGAGGGCCGTGTTTTATAGGTCAATTGTGCTTTGGAACAATCTCCCAGTTGGGGTTCGTGAAATCAAGGGAAAAACTGGTTTTAAAAAAGATTAAGACTGCATTTGTTTTCAACATCATAACCTCGTCTGGAATGGTTGAGCGAGGTTGCATCATGTGTCCTGGTGTTATGCATTATTATTTATTACTTTAATCAGTTCTTTCAGAATTACTTTTTCTTGTCTTTTGTGTGTATTTATATATGATATATGTGAGTAATTGTGATTGTGATTACTGTTCTTTTATGTATTTCTTTTTTTCTTGGACCCCAGGAAGACTAGCTGTCGTCTCAGCGTCAGCTAATGGGGATCCTTTTAAATAAATAAACAAATAGAACATTTGATGGACTGGAATCAGAGACAGATTTAACAAATATCCACTGTATTTTTACATTGATTACACTGATATTTACATAGCAAAACATCAAAAAGGACAACAGGAAAATAGATCGTAGGCACTGAGCCAGTGTTAAACACTGCATCAATGACTTGATCTAATAGTTATCTGGTCAGTTGATCCCAAATCAGTTAATTACCCTCAAAGTGTTTTATACACAAACACTTATCAGAACAAATGCAAAGCACTAGAAAGGAGTTTGTTATTATGCTTCATACTGAGACATGTGGACTGCAGCTCTTTTCGTGGGGTGGGTGGCTCTTAAAAGAGCCTTTGTGGTGGAGGCCTCCGTCTCTACTTCTTGGCGGGCTTCTCGGTCTTCTTGGGCAGCAGCACCGCCTGGATGTTGGGCAGCACGCCGCCCTGAGCGATGGTCACTCCGCCCAGCAGCTTGTTGAGCTCCTCGTCGTTGCGCACAGCCAGCTGCAGGTGACGCGGGATGATGCGGGTCTTCTTGTTGTCGCGGGCGGCGTTTCCGGCCAGCTCCAGGATCTCGGCGGTCAGGTACTCCAGCACGGCCGCCAGGTAGACGGGGGCTCCTGCGCCGACACGCTGCGCGTAGTTCCCTTTGCGCAGATGTCTGTGGACGCGGCCGACCGGGAACTGGAGCCCGGCTCGGGAGGAGCGGGTCTTGGCCTTCGCTCGGGCTTTGCCGCCGGTTTTGCCTCTGCCGCTCATCGTTAGACTGTGTGGAGGAAAGGAAGTGTCGATGGTCGCGTCAAACCCTCCTTTATATGTCCGCGGAGTGGGCGGGACGGTCCCTGACGCGCGCACCAACCAGAGAAGAGGCTCCAGGCGCGAGAGCAGAGGGCGGGACCTCTGAGATTTGGCGGACAGTTTGAAATCATTTTCCACCAATGAGCAGCGGAGACTCGCTTCTGGAGGCGCGGCTGAGCTCCGACGCGGCGCCTTTTGTTCCCAGCAGTCACCGTCTAATGAATGAATGAATATATGAAGCAATGGATTTCTCAAGGATCTTAGAGAGGAAGGGAAGATTAGAGATAGGTCTGTAGTTAGCCAACACCTCTGGAGCAACAGTAGGTTTCTTAAGAAGAGGTTTAATTACAGCTACCTTGAAGGACTGTGGTACATGTCCTGTCAACAAAGACAGATTCATCATATCGAGTGAAGACGTCCTTAAGCAGACAGAAATCGGATCCAAGAGACTAGTAGAAGATTTAGATTTTAAAATTATAGAAGTCAGTTGTAGGTAATATGTTGTTAAATTGGTTTAAACTTAACTAAATATATTTGAATATCTGTGTTTTTTAAGCGAATATTCTCACGTCATTTTTGAGCCATGTTGAGAGCCCCAGTGGTCACCTACTGCAGGACGTGGCATGAAGTGGGATTCTGTGCACACACTAATATACAAAATGCTATTAGTGTGCGTAATTAAATTTGTAATTTGTAACCATGGAGTTACGAGACGTTAAAATGTGGAGTGTCCAGTTCATCAAAGGGAATCGACTGCGAGAGAACCCATTTCACCAGAACTCCAACGTGATGTGCTTTTACTTTGGAAATTTGTGCGAGGAGGTTCATGAGTTATGGGAATCATTTCCCACAAAGATCCGTATGCAGTTTACTGAAATGTAATCTAAAGACATCCAAAGGAATGTAACAGCTACAACCAAAATGTGAATGACTTTCATTCACTGTTTTTAATTTACATTGGAATACATTGATAAAAGAAGTAAAGCCTAAATTTAAAACCTAATCAATACAAATTTCAGTTTTTCTAAACATCACTTGACTTCAAATCATTACTATTTCACAGTTGTTTCTTTTGAACCTGCAGTTTACATTTTGTCTTTTTGATGCTTCGGTTTCCTTCTGCTGTCGAAAACTAAAATATATTCATATGTTTGTATGTCGTGAAGAATGAATGAAGAATTTATTATGCAAATGAGGAACGAAGTTACTATTTTCGCCCCATTTTATTTACTTCTATCACATTAATGTATTAACGAATACCCTCTAATTAGGTTTATTTGGTAAAATTTGGTTAAAATGTTTATTAATTGTATTTTTTTTATGTCTATATTATACATCATCCTCATTATAACTAAAGGACATTTTTACACACAATAAGGTCTGCAATAAATCTGTAGTCCTCGTACTATACATTGTTTTCAATGTATCGTAAATTCCCGACTATAAGCCGTTACTTTTTTCTCACGCTTTGAACCCTGCGGCGCGTTTAAGTTACTGGCAACCAATCTGGCTGTCGGAGAAGGAAACAGAGCGGCTGCACGTAAAATTGCCATTAATGAATCAATGGCGAGACGTTTGGAGACGTAAATGTGAAGAACGTACTCGCAAGAAGACGAGAAAAGCTTCCAGAGGAAATAAAAGCAGACGCCCCGAACTTGAAAACGTTGTTGAAGACTGAACACACAGAGAGCAGACGCCGAGGTGTTTCCACCGTGCGGATCCGACTGAAAGACAAAAGAAGATTTTAGAGGTGGACCATCGTGGTCTCAGACTTTTGAAAGAAAAAGGCCTTTCCGGGCGCGGGCGTCTCGGCATCAGCAGTCGTTCTTCTGCCGCGTGGACACCTGCGGAGAGCAGAACACTCGACTAGATCTCCACTCTTTGCTGTCCTGCTGCTAAATGGTAGAAGCAGGTCTCTGAAGACATCAGGACCACAGAGAGCCTTCACATCTTCAGACTAAAGACACACCTCTTCAGACTCTACCTCCACTAACACACTAACTACCTGGAGCACTTACATTGGACTTATAACGTCACTCATCTATAGCAAGTTGTAAATCGGCTTATTTGAGGAAAATGCACTTTCTTGTTTCTTGCTCTTCTGACTTTGTGTCGTTATGGTTGAAATGTTCTTATTGTAAGTCGCTTTGGATAAAAGCGTCAGATAAATGACGTGTGATGTGATGTAATATAATCCATCGAATGTAAAACAATGAACTCAACTTTTTTATTGTTACAAAATAAAACAAATTGGTATTATTTATTTTGTCCTGTCTTTCTCCTTAACTACAGATCTCAAGGAAACTTTGTCCAGCAGTTCCCCAGAAGCAAATTCCAGTGAACTGTCTGCTGGTAGAAGTGACACAGTCACCCTCGAAATCGTGTCCTGCAACTCAGGTGACACAATCACGCCGGAGGAGAGTGACCGTCCCTCCGGAAAGCGGCAGAGGGCAGATGAAGAGGCCAAACGTGTAAGTTCCATCCATCCATTTTCAACCGCTTATCCGGGGTCGGGTCGCGGGGGCAACAGCTCCAGCAGGGGACCCCAAACTTCTCTTTCCCGGGCCACATCTACCAGCTGTGACTGGGGGATCCCAAGGCGTTCCCAGGCCAGTGCAGAGATATAATCTCTCCACCTGGTCCTGGGTCTTCCCCGGGGCCTCTTCCCAGCTGGCCGTGCCTGGAACACCTCCCAGGGCGAGGCGCCCAGGGGGCATCCTCACCAGATGCCCAAACCACCTGAACTGGCTCCTTTCGACGCAAAGGAGCAGCGGCTCTACTCCGAGCTCCTCGCCAATGGCTGAGCTTCTCACCCGATCCCTAAGGGAGACGCCAGCCACTCTCCTGAGGAAACCCATTTCGGCCGCTTGTACCCGTGAACTAGTTCTTTCGGTCATGACCCGTCCTTCATGACCATAGGTGAGGGTAGGAACGAAGAT